GACGGGACGTAATTGTAGTATGCGGTTCAGAGTGTAGAGAAATGATCTCAAAAAAAATGAAATCAGTTCTGTGCCTGAATGGATTGCATTGCTGCCCAGCATCAAACTCATTTCTCCCAAAGGAGGGCCCTCCCACTTATATCTGACGACATCTCCTTCGTGAACCCTATGCCCTTTCCTCTCTAACTGTATAAAAGAAACCATCGCCGCTGGGGAGATTTCATGGGTGGAACCATAGAGGCAGTCGTAAAGAAATTCCTGGCTAGATATCTCGTAGCATCCTATGACTTACTTAGTTGTATTAGATGACATCCCCGTCTGTTTCGGCACGCAGCTCTTATTTGAAATGTTCTCCTGATCCTGGATGTCAAGACGGAATCAGGCGCTTTTCTGTTTTCTGGCTTCTTCTCTGAGGAAGCATTCTTTACACCCTTACTCGCTATTGGGACAAAATCAGCTACTGACATTAGTTAACTTGAGAAGCTGTTAGAGCATTCTATTGTTGCCAAGATTTATGCCCTAAAGATCTTAACTCGCCTCCAAGCCCATTCATGGCTCCTTCCCTATAAGCCCAAGGTCTGAATAATCAAAGGCGTTTGATCATGCATACAAGCAGCTTCTCAGAGGTTACCCAAAAATTCACGAAGTTGGCTGAATAGACTTCTGAGGAGCAAACATTCAATGTGTGCAATGTTCAGTGAATCCATAAACTTGTGTTCACTCAAGAGAACTCATAAAGGGGCAAAAATCAAAGTGGTGTCCAGCCTCGTAAAGATTATGCCTTGCATCAAATTGTATGAGATCGTGATAGTATATGATCATTTCCAGTTCACTGGGATGCCTGTACGAGTGAGTGCCAGACGTGATCCGAATAATAAAAACCAAGCAAGTGGAGACTGCAAGAAACACGAAACAAATCCTCAGGCCTACGCAGAACTGTTCAGTCATGTCGACAAAGGTGGAAAAACATTGGTTGGTTGTATCTCTTAAAGAATCTTTCCAATTTTTCCAAATATACTCAGTGACCCAACAAAAATAAATGCGTCTACAACATCTCAGCGTCCGGGCATCTTGTTACCGAGAAACCTAGCTACTGAGGAAACCCGTCACACACGAGCATTCTTTAGAAACTGGCAAATTGTCAGTCATCAACTGGGCCATATACTTCCTAGACCAGCAGGCCTTCCCTCTAAATTTCCCCGTATAATATTTCTTTCTGATCTTTTTTTGCCCTCATTTGATATGAATACTACAACAACAGTAGAGGAAAAGGGAATTCGGGAAAAAGCGTTTTGTCTAATGACAGGAGAAGGCATAGCCTCGTTGAGCCAGAGTCTTTGATGGTAGCCTGTTGGAACAGGACAGATTGCCGCGCTCTGCGGCAACCTGATCGACTCCCAAAGGCTACCTTATACTAGGAAGTCCCTGATCACGTCAAAGTTTCTCCATTACTATGCCTGAATACTATACAGAATACCCAACATGTAGAGCGTTTGGAATAAGTCTTTCTCCTCACAGACACTATAGGTTTTCTACAAAAATGTCCTCTGAATCCTACGGCATTCAGAAGTTTCCATACGACCTATGGGCAGATGGTTATCCGAAAAATATGTGCGCAGACAAACCAAGAACCACTGTAGCAGTATGGAAAAATGGATACGTCGATGTTCCTGCTATGGCACGCCTTCCTGTTATCTGTGCATACGGTAAGATTTTGGTACATCTACAGTAAGACGTTCCTAAAGCCGTAAAGAACCCTTCGAAGGATATTCATATACTGAGCAAGGTGGGAAAAGGCTAGCGCGGCCAGACTGTCCGTCAGAGTAGGAGGGTGTATATTCCGAGCCCAAGCAATCCATCAGAGCTACAGCAACATCACAATATTGAAGTGTGAGCCATTGCTGGGATTAATATCAGTAGGCACGAAATGAATATGGTCTAGAAATGCCATTGAGGTCACCAAACTAGGGCAGCACACGCAACACATGGTCAAAAGGCAATTGTTCTTTGAGGCTCCGATCGGATTAGCCGTTGATTCGAACAATGTTCAGGGGATGTCTGTTCTTCATTCCTATGTCGACAATTTTCTGCAAACATCTTATCTGTTTAACTATCCATGTCTGCTAATTGCCAATTCATTTCAGGGCAGTACAGGAGAAAAATTACTGCAAAACCGTCCACAACCACGACAACTACAACAACAACGACTTCGACAACCACTACCACCCAGACGACGACNATCGATGCCCGCCTAGGCCAACCAAGCCTTCCATCCCTCCGGGGTCGGTGAATTGGTACCAGATTCGTCTGGGAGGATAAAAGCACTGACTTGTACATCGGTGGCCCCGCAAGTCATTGTATAGGCCACGTACGCACTCAGTACGCCACTACGATTCTGAATGGAAGTCGAGTGCGGGGGCGCATCCCTCATATGGGATTGATTAACGCCAAAAACTTTATCCTTTTATCCTTTAATATTAGAAGACACGATGTGAAAATGGTCTGGAAATGCCATTGAGGTCACCAAACTAGGGCCCTACACGCAACACATGGTCATAAGACAATTGTTCTTCGAGGCCCTGATCGGGTTAGCCGTTGATTCGAACGATATTTCAGTAGATGTTTCTTCTTTATTCCTATGTCGAAAATTTTCTACGGACATCTTATTTGTTTATTTTCTATCTGCATGTCTCCTAATTGCCAAAATATCTTTATTTTAGGGCAATACCGAAGAAAAGTTACTGCAAAACCGTCAACGACGACGGCAACTACAACAACGACAACTTCAACAACCACTATCGCCCAGACGACAACAACCACTACTACACCCACAACTACCACCACCATTCCAATCCCCCTAATAACCACAACTCCAACGACAACTACTGCGACGACTACGAGACCAACTTCAACACTCACCACAACTTCGGAATCGGATTCATCTAAAGCTGTAGTACCATCTTCAACGACAACTTCGGCTGCGACGACGACGAACTCGACGACCCCTTCAACCACGACGTCCTCTACCCCTCCATCGACATCGACAACCACTTCAACCACTACCCCAACGACAACGACTACCACCACAACAACCACACCAACAACTACAACAACTTCCACCACCACCACCACTACCACCACTACCACCATATCACGAATCACTCTTTTGCCACCTGGAACCACTACTACAACAACGACAACAACCACCACGACCCCTCCATTTATATGCGAAGGAAGTTTGGCTTGGTTGTGTGAAGTTGACTGGGAAGAAGAGAGAAAGAAGTATCCTCCAAAGATTAAGAAAGAAGAAGAAGATCCTCCACTCAGCAAACATGGTTGTTCAATAGGAGCACATTATAACGAAGAAAAAAAGCATTGCGAATGTACACCACCTTATAAGGATGGCTCAGACGTCTACGTAGAATATGAACACCTACCAAAGGTAAGTTTACCGACTGATGAGCTTTCCAATTGATGCTACCCCGGAATTCTTGGTAATAACTGCTCACTACCCACAATACTATTATTATTTATTATTGTCATTACGCTTAGTACTTCGGAGTAATTTCAGCGTCATCAGAATCAGAGTGCTGGGGAGAGATAAAGGTTCAGATCCCTAATTAACTTTTATCCTTGGGGGCTAACTGAAATCATAGGGAAAAAAAGCTGGTTGGGAGTGCCGAGCTGGAAAAGGATGAAGTAGAGGAGTAAAAAACAAATCCAGAGGATGACTTGAGTAGTTTGATATGGTTTGGAAAGGAACCCACAAGGGCGATGGATTAGAGTCGTAGTGAGGGGAAACGAAAAATGGAAATATTGAGGAGATAAGTTAGAAATAGAAATAAGAGAAGAGGGAAACTCATAGGGCGATGGAGTGGCCAAGCTAGCTAGAGAAAGAAGATGAGATGAGATCAGAAATACCATATGAACGAAAAGAAAAAAACGGGAAAAACCAAGTCATACATGGGAAAAATGTTGCCTTTGGAGTCCCTAGAGTGATTTCAAAAAATCTACTCTACCAAAAGGGGCACTATGACCGAAGTATGAGAAACAGAAGTTGTTCATTAGCGAGTTACACATCAACTTATACGCCGAGTTAGACTTCTGGGAAGGACCATAGGCGGTAATAAAAAAGTTTGGAAATCATGAATGACTCTTTAGGGAACATTATGCGTCCACTGCAGAGAAAGACTAGGAAAAAGCAAATCAGTGATGTTCATCCTTGACCATTCTGCATCAGTATTCCTGCCCGGCTGGAAACAGGTTCGCTATCGTTTTACTCATAAAGGTAGGGTTATCAGGGCTTTCAGCTGTATGCCCGCTGCCCGCTATTGTGTAGACACCTCAAAAATTCAAAAAAGAGCGATCGAAGGTGTAGCTGTGCTAAACGAACTCGAGGACTACAGAGCTCAAAAAAGAAAGCTGGAAAAAAATTCAAAAAACGAGTGGTCCAAGTGCGTTCCTACCCCATTCATCATCAGATACAAGTCTGGGAGAGACTATGCCGGGGTCGATGCTTCCAATGGGGAGAAAGTTTTGTCCAATAAGCACGAAAGAAGTTTCGGAAGTAGAGCTTTCAAATCCATATAAGTGGGAAGGGGAATAGGTAGGAGGGAAGAAAGAGGGAGGAAGAAGCTGTGTATCAGTCCCTCATAACCACAGTATGCCATGGCCGGCACTTCACTACCTATGCAACTCGCACCTTCAACTGTCACATTGGACATTGTCCTCAAATTCTGGACGATTGCTCGTTTGCTCGTTTTTGCTTTACCACTGGACCATGATCATCACCATTTCAACTTTTTGAAGAAGCAAAGAATCGTTAACATAAAAAATAAGAGTTCTGTCTTATGTTCTCTTCATTCGTTCTACTGTGGGCATCACCTCTGAAGAACTAGTGAAGAATTTCAAAAAAACTCCAAATATAGTTATATTTTCAGATTTTAAGATTTATGCGAGAAGTGGTCAAGGCAATTGATGGAGTCAGAGTCGGAATGATTCTAATCAAAAATGTTCCAAAAGTTGACTTACCCATAGCAATGTATCCTATCGATAGACTCTTGTAAGCTTCTGAGACAACTAGCACTTATAAGCCTCAACTTCCATACAGAATCTCTATATGCCCTGATTCAGAGGATTTCTGGATGCAAACAAGAAGTATGATGGTAAATCAACCAAACTCGGTTACTCGTTACTTCTTGCAAGGCAGGAATTAGCGGTAAGTCATAGATTTTTCATGAATTCATATATAACTCAAGAAATTTACCCCCTACCCAGAAAGTTTTTTTGAGAACAACAACTTCACAAAAACACTAACTTTGATTTTACTAGTTGTCTAGCGAGGGGATTACTCCGTGAAGTCTCCTGATTTTCGCTCAAGATGAGGGTTCTGCTTCTTCTCCTTATTTCTCGAACCTTCCCGAGGAGTATGGAGCTTCTTGTGACGCCTTACCCTTACTAGATATCATCGCATCTACGGCGGAACAAGACGCACGACATAGTTTGGCCAATAACAGTAGACAACACGTACAAGTATTGTAATGACAGAATGAAATATCAATCATTACCTCATAGCATTCAAATTTATTCAACACATCACCTCGCCAATGATAAGTGACAGCAATGACTAACCTCTATAGTCCTCTCTCATGAATTGGGTCCTCTATCGACCACGTATGAGCTGCACCGACATTTCTGCTCATTCCTTTTTACATAAGTTTCTGAAGTTTCTGAGCTGAGATGGGTACAGGTGTCCCACGAAAAGCCCAACTAAAACGCTAAAACTATTTTTGTAAATACATTAAGTATTATAAAAAAGAATGAATTAGCTACCTCTAAATGCGTAATCTTAAGGTATTCCTAGTGAGCAGCCAGTGACGTATGAAATGGGAGTTGTCACTTAGGTGCAGGGAGAGTTAGTTGGCTCCTGAAACGAAATTGCGTTCGTAATTATATAAACCGTCAAAAAAGGAAAAATAAAGAAATTCCTTGAGAAGTTCTTCACAGCATATGACCGAGCCATTGGTGAGGAAGGCAGCTACAATACCCACCCTAAATGTTCAAAAAACACGAAAAAAACGCATTTTTGCGTTTTTTCGTTTTTTCTCTATAACTAGGTTAATTTCAAGTTTCTTAATATAGTGTGCTATATGGTTGAACTCAAATCCTCGAGCTCTATAACATGGTTTA